TGAGGACAAACACTAGAATTAAAAGACAACTCTCCTTTAGGGCAAATTTACCTAACAAGGGTCTGCTTGTTGCCATCAAGAGTGAAGCAAAATTAAAGTTTGTGGGGCTTTGTTCTTTAAGGATTTGAGCTAATAATCATGTGTATTATTTTATTTTATGAGTTGGGCCAAGCTGTGCTGCTGACAACTTTATTCACCACAATTTATTGGTAGATTAAAATTCTACCAATAAAAACCATATATGTATAATCTTTTATTTTAACAAAATAAGGCATGTGATTTTAATGTGATCGATTTGTCTATATTATGGCCACATGGATGTTAATAAATAAATTAAATAAAAATTGCATATCGCAACACTATATATTCAAAATTTTGTTCTTGACAAAATGATGCATGATTTTTGCTTCGTTTTGTCAAAAATATTATGGAGTGTCAAGTATCTCTTTATCAACAACGTAGAATCGTGATAAAAGTGTAAACTTTTAAAAAGGTTTTACAATTTTACATAACAAATTTGATGAAATATATAGTTACCGTTCATTAATATGCTGTGGGAAGTAGCAAGCAAATGGTGGGTGAGGTGGGTCGCAAGATATCTTGAGAAAAGTAATTCATAATTATAGGGAAAAATATATTTTAATTGAAGTTGATAAATAAATAAGGAAATTGATATCAAATTAATGATTGGCAAACAATAGGACAAATCTAAATTACACAATTGAATTCATTTTTAGCTAATTAATTGTATACCGATTAACTTAATTAATACTAACTATTTGGAAATCTCCCTTTCGGTTTAAAGGGTGACAACTGATTTTACAGAGTGTATGGCCTGTAAATGTTGTGTAAAATGATTTCATATTTTGCAAAAATCAAAATTTTATGTCTCATCAATTTCATCAACATTTGGAAACATGCGAGCTCGCAAATTATGGAAAAACCGACTTTTTTTGGTTGGCCCAAACCAGGTATGGTGGGTGGGGCCTGCCAAATTGGTGGGCCCAATAAGTGGGGTTCAATCCCATAAATAGTAAACAATGCTATATAGGTTAGTACAATGCTTGTTATATGAAAATATTATATTTAAAAAACTTCACAATAACTTTTTTTTAATTTAAAATAATTTTTCAAAGATATATAAATGCAAATGATTCTTTTTATTTTTTTTATTTAGAATACTCATCACCCGTGAGGCTCGTTCGCCTACATAATGATAAATTTTTTAAATAATTGATACATTTGTATTTTTTTCCTCATTAGAATTAGTAGATAATTTTTTTTCTAGAGATATATGTTACTTTTACATATGGAATGTGGACGTCATATATGATTAATTTGATGTTTCATAAATAAAAAGTTGATAACAAATTAAAAAATTATTAACTTTTAAAATATCTTTATAATTTAAGTTGATAAATAATTTTGCAATTTTAAAAACCTGACAAGAATAAAAAATCTAAATTTGGATGAATTTTCTTCAAAGCACCAAATTTGACACATTAAACAAAATACTATCGATGTATTTATATGTAGGGGAGAGTATTTATAATTTTGGTTTTAATTTTAATTTCAATCGCATATTCTTGTAACAATTTTAACAATATTTAGATATTGGAGATGAAATTTGCTCTTACAAGTTACAATTATTAAATGTCAATAAAGATATGTTTGGCTCTTCAAGGATGTGAGGCGGCATTGGTTCTCCTGCTGCTCTTTCTGTACTCTTTCAGTGTTTTCTTTTCGTATTTTTACCACTGATCTGATTCCTTTTATCTTTTCCTTTTTCCCATACCTTATCGTTTTTTCAAAATAATAATAAGAGTAATAATTTATTAACACTATAATATATTGTACAATGCCAGTAATTTTAAATGATTATTTTATGGTTTATTAAAGATATTTATTTTTATAAAATTAACTATAGTATTATTTGATGTTTTTTAAATTGATTTGATGGTAAAAGTAGTTTTATTTAAAAAGATAGACAAAATAATTTTTTATTTTATCTATGTCATATGGATGTCAAATCAAAGATCGTTAAAATATGATTATTTTGATATCATATATAAAAATAAAATATAAATAAAAAAGTTATAAGTTTTATTAAAAAAAGAATACATATTTATAATAATTAATATATAAATCAAATAAGAAAATGTTAGAGTAGTATATGGTAACTTAAGAAAAGAAGGAAAGCTAAAATGGTTTATGATAATTCCAATCCTAATAGTTAAAACCAAACTTGAACACCTGTCAATACAAAACACAAATTTATGTCAAATAAGCTTACGAAGCATAGGAGTCTGTCACTTATGCTCAACGCATCAAGAATTATATATAAGGGCAATTCTTTTTT